TTTTGTACTGTCAATAACTGCTAAGATATATTAGACTGTTACTCCCTGGCGTTCAATAAATCGCGGTAGGGAGACAAGTTTTTTATGTTCACAAGGGAAGTGGCAGCAGAAAGTGTCAACTCTCTATTTTTAAAAGGTCAAAAGTCTCTAATACTTTTAAGAAAAATAGCTTTTCTTTTGTAACCTCTTTAAATCAGCATAGTAGCCTTTTGCTGTCACTTGAGAGGGAAGTTTTCCAAAGGCTGTTTCTGAACAGAAACAGTTGTGTAAAGGAGCTCTTCTTTCTTTCATTCCAGTCAGAATTTATGCAAATTGCTCTATTTATAGTTAAAGAAAGGTAGAAAGATAAAACTGTTGGTCTTTTTTTTTTTCCTTCCCTTTCTCTCTAATTCAATGCAAAGCTATGGGTTTGTTGCAGTGCATTGAGCCCAGTGAAGCCGCCTGCTCTGGCAGTGAGTAGCTGATACATCCAGTATTGCTGCTAATTGCAAGTACCTGTGGAATGAAAATAAATTGTTCACAGGAATACACAGGATATTTATGACACAAAAACACTGCCTCAAAGGCTTGAGGATAAAAGGCCAAAATGCCTTGTTAAGATATATCAGAAGAAATGTAAAGTGAATGAATCAAGTGTACAGCCATGTATATACGTGCTCTGGAAGGGGACTAAAAAAAGCTGGAGGAGTTTGCACGTGGCACCCAGCACTACAGAGGAGAGCAGAGTGGCTAGAAAGGGTGGAAAATCCTCCCTTCATACCACATGCCACGTTTGTGGGCCATGTGAACACACCAAAAAAGTATCCAAGCCCCCTCAATACACAGGACAGCCCCCTCTGCTACTCTGCCACAGAGAGATGAAACACAGAAATCCATACCTCCCACATTTACTGTGGTTGTCACATAGCCAAGCTCATCAGTTGGGCACCAGTTACTCTATGTCATTCCTGCTGCTGGTATTGCAAGGTCTTCGTGCTCGAGAGTGTATGTCACTGGGCTCTGTGAAAGGGACTGATGCTGTGATCTGCCTCTAAGCTGGTCTTCTGCTATAGGTATCCTTTCCTCCTTGCATACACATTTCCACTTACTCTTCTATGTTAAGCTTCTATGTCTGTATATAATGTATACATACACATTTGTTTGAAATAGGAACATTTCCTAACGGGAAAATTGATCCTATCCCTGTTTGTGTGCCCTGCTCTGATCCTGAAAGGAATTCTTGTCATAAAAAGACATATAGTCTTTTATTCTTTAATTGTTTTGAATTATGAGACCACTTGGCTGCAAGGCTTTTAGTTTGTGAACTTAGTACAGTCTTGCTGTTGCTGTAAGATTTGATTAGTCTAAGTTATATTTTCTTTAGAGGATTACAAAGAAACTGCTGCAAACTATAAATTCCTTGCTAATAGAATTATTTAAAAGGCTGTTTCAGTGTATCTTGGTTTTTATGGGACACACTGCATGAGTGAAGCTGGTTTGAAGAGGAATACTCCCTATGCTTCATGCTGGTCTCTTGTCACAAATGAATATGCATTCCCAGCCCTGCCTAAGGCCAGTTTTGCAGGCAGGTTAAACCAAGCTGAGTGTACTGCCAGTAGGCAGCACCTTCCTCCTCCTCTTTGTTTTCCATTTCTCTCCCTACTGTCATTAGCTCTGGCTTTCACAAGTGGAAATCACAGAATCAACTAGATTGGAAAAGACCTTGAAGATCATTAAGTCCAATGCTACATTGCAATCAGTTGCTTGTGAATAGGTAATAATGATTAGTTTGCTACAGTGGTGGCAAATTCCATTACTCATTTGATGTTGTCACACCTGGAAGTCTTAACATTCTCCTTGAAGAAACATAAAAATTATTATACTGTGTTCCTTTGTAAGGCATCTTTACTGGGGTTTCTTTTTCCTCTTTTGGACTGTGTTTGAGTAAACAGTTTATGATTTCAAAGGCAACTGTTGATTTTAATGGAGATGTTCTTGCAGTGAATACTAAGCTTAGGCAGATGCTTGTGCATTTTGCAACCAGTGTGTGGTTTAAGGTTTTGGAGGTTTGGGGCTTTTTCAAGCAATTGCCCCTGATTGTTTCGCATACCATCTATTTAAAAGCTTTCATGCATCAGAAATGATACTCAGATTGCCCTCTGGATTTGCTGCCATAGCTAACAGTAGAGCTAATGGTATCATTCATTACAAACAAACAACATAATAACAGTCCCATCTTCTCTCGTGATGACATATAATCAGCTATGCATTACCAGCAATCGTCTGTTTGTGTGTATTTATACTGTAAGACAAATCACTTGCACAAATACTAGGCAGGAATCTCCCTTTTCTGTTTGTAGCTGCTGCTACAGATATTATTTGCTCTTCTCTGCAGAGGATCTGAGTCTGCTGACTTGGTTGTTTGATGTGAGCAGCAATGGTTTGTACTTTTAAGGCCACAGATGCCTACATCCAAGATAGTGTTCTTTGGGTTTTCCATGAGCAGGGTGTGCATTTTTTTGCAAGGTATGAGTAAACTGTGCATGGAAATTATGCAACCAAAACCCAGACGAGTGCTGCTTGTTGTTCACAGTGTGTGACTGATCTCCTAAGTGGAATGTGATGTTTTTAGTTTGTCCTTCATACCTAAATGACAGCCTTAACAGGTATAGAGAATGAAAGTCAGGTCAGTCCCCAAATCTCTGAAACACTCTCCTCGTATGAGCACTATTTAATTCTTCTTAAAATGTAGTCTTTAAAAAAAATTCATTTTTTACAACCTGAATCCTGTAGAGGCAATGTAGAGATTCCTGTCTTGCTACCTCTTTTTCATTCCTTCCTTACCCATGCATTCTCCAAGCCCTCCAGAAGGCCTGTTCATGCGCTGCTTTAATCAGATCTGTATCTTCCATTTCTTGAACCAAAACAAAGCCCATAACCTGTCCCACACTTAGTAAGCCAAAACATTGGCTTCTAAGAATTCCGTTAAGAGAGGTATGTCATTCAAGTTGTTCCAAAGTTAGATAACAGCTTGGATCATAAGGAATTATCACCCTCAACAGCCCTATCTGTCTGGTTGAGGTCACTACTGTAATGTGGTTTCTTAATAAACTTTTTCTGCATAGACACCTGATTTTTAGGTTGTGGGGAATGGCAAATTACTGTTCACCCCCTAGAAAGAGCACAAGAAAAAACAAATCTTTAAAGTATGAGATACTTCCCATGTTGTTGAATCTTCTAGACTATAGTTAAGCAAGTGAAATGTTCCGACATATAAATACAGAATAGGGGTGATTGCTTCTTCCCTGTATCTTGTAATATTATTGTAATTATATATAAAATTACATTTTATATATATTTATATGTTAATTATATTTTCATATATAATTATTTTAATTATATATGTAAATTGTAATTAAAAAAAAAACAAACAGGAAAATAATGTCTTTGAAACATCCCTTGCAATGGCTGTGTGCCTTGCATGATGTGAAGGGATCCCAGTCTCAGTCGAAGCATTTTGTTGCTGCGGAAACCTAAGTAATAAAGAGGAACATGTTCACCTGTGAGCTGGTGGTTCAGCACTGCTAAACAAGACCCAGTTCTCATTGCACTCTTATTGAGAACCTACTGGCAGCCCTCATGTACTTTTATTGTTCTCCAGTCAGTTTAGAGCTCCCAGTGAAGACGAGAGCTTGATTTCTTCCCTAAAAATTCTTGAGGAAACGGGAGGGAAAGCTTCTTAGTAAACTTAAAAGTAGCAAACCACTGAGGCATTTTTTAAAGCAGAAGAACAACTTACCTTCTTTTACAAGGTTTTTGTTTAGTGTTAAATGTGCAGGTAATTTATCAGGTTCAGTTGTTACTCAGAAGGAAGTGGAATGCTTTTTATACTACTTGCAATAGTTTTTGTGATTATTTTTTTGACTGTGCACCTAACATTACAATCTATTGTTTTACCTCAGGCCTGGTCAAATCTATTTGCATCCATAATAATTTCAAAAGAACAAGATATCCAGAAACAGTTTGCAATCCGTTTATCCAAGGTTTCGCTCCAAAGATGAGCACAGTTACCTTGGCATTAAAATCCAATAGACTGTCACACTACCACCAAATTATATCTGTATTACAAATTTTGCTTCCTACAGCTGACCACAGCCTGGGAAAATGACACCATTTCCCACAAATTACAGTAGAGAATCTTTTGACATAGCTGGCTTCATGTTGGCTTTCCTGGTCACTGCCAGCATTAAAGGATGTAACTGGGACAGGTTGCACTGCAGTAGCTCCTGCTTGATTCACCAGGAGAACTGCTGAGCTCTAAATTACATGAGAGCCTGAGCCCTCTCTTTGCCATCCCACAAATTAAGGAAGCAAAGAAATGTATACTCTGGAGATACATTCTGATGTGCTGATAACACAAAACTGGCAATTTCTGTTCTGCAGGCCTGTGCCTGTAAGTGAGCATTAACTGTATACAGATGAGATCAAATAGGGTTTTCTCCAAGGTATGGAAGATTTCGTCATGTTTGTGGTCTCCAGCTCCTGTTAATAAGGATGTGTCTGCTGGTGGCTTAATTGTTAATATCTATGGTTTACTTTGGGTCAAAATAGCAGCATATCCTACTGCTGAAGTTTTGTCATATTCCTTGGGTACTTTTTAGCGGCCTTTATTTCACCCTCTCTTTCTTCACCAAGTTAAAAGATTTCATTAAAACTCTATCAGTAATTAGTGATGCCAGTGATCCAGTAGCCCATGATGAATATAACCTAATACACAGGGAATTGTGACAGCAGGAGGTGCAGGGCTGCTGTTACAAACTTCAGCCTCAGAAGATGTCATTTGACTGTTGGTGGTTTTCTTAGTGGCAGCTCACCAGTGTTTCTGGGGTGTTTTCTTATCTGTTAGCCAACTTGGTTTTAAAACTTACAAGTAACCTAGGAAGAAGTTCCTTGTGAGTTTTTCACTTGCCCACTCTGTTTCATCATGCCTTGAAATATTTTGATTTGTAATTATTTTTCAGAGAGATCTCCCAGAATGATGCCTTGGAGGTCATAGAGGGAAATGTATTTTCCGACCTTCCCCAACTACATGAAATGTAAGTAATGAGCAATCTAAATTCAAAGGAGACAATTATAAAGATTCATTATAGGCAAGTATCAAAGATTTTGCAGCTTGGTTCAGGTAAGCTCTGAAGAATTCATAGAGATACAGGAACATTTGAAACCTCCCTTTGTCTTTTCTGTCTTCCTGTCTAACTGTTCCTTTCTTTCCCTGGCGATCCTGAAGGTTATCCTCAAACCACTGCCAATATCAAAAAGTGGTGGGGTCTGCTGATCTGTGGAAGGCTGCTCTGAAATCGTGCACATCATCTGCTGTCAAAAAGAAAATCTCAGCGTATAGTACCGCTACATCATGGGGCTGCCACAAATATTTTAAGGTCAATATACTGATGTATTTTCTCTGATGTTTCATTTTCTCTCCACAGAAGAATTGAGAAAGCCAACAACCTCGTGTACATTGATCAGGATGCCTTCCAGTACCTTCCGAGCCTCAGATACTTGTAAGATCTTTTACTCTTTGCAAGTACTATGGTTATTTTGAACAGTACAGATCTGTTTCTGTCTACTCATGCTGAGCACTTTTGGTGATGAGACAAGATAATGCTCTCTCCTCACTAGTAGTTGCACATTGTCTATCCACATTTTCACCCCTGGGCCTGTGCAAAGTCCTCACAAAAGCTGAAGGTAATACCCTCCATGGAGTAGTCTCACACAGAAGATCCTCGAGCCTTCTTCAGGTTGAAATTAAGTGAGGAGTAAAGGAGCTGGGATTTTTATATGTCTATAAAAAAGGGCTTAGGTGGAAATTCCTCTTGAGAGCTTTGAGAAAAAAATCTTTCTCATCTGTCTTTACTATGGCCCTGCCCTCTGTTATACTTCATGCACATTGTCTTAAGCATTCAAATTCTCTTTTCTTTAGCAATGGCAGTGCTATAGCAATGGTATTCATTAACACTTGATGTGAGATGATTCAGACCCTAAAAATACAATGTACTGATGTATGCTATGACCTTATTTCATCAGCCAGCCTCATCAAGAATGGCATTTGCACAACTGTGGTTGCCACATCTGCTCCCATGGTGTTGCCATCAAAATTCAGTGATAATTGAATCCATCTTTAGAATAAACTATTCCTCAAAAATATTTTCACATCTTTTAGCTTGTGATCTTAATGTGACTAATAATCTCTCCTCTGCATTAAAACCCCAGTGAAGTCCAATGAACTCCTTTTAAAGTTAATTGAGTTTAATGGCTGTAGATTAAATAAGCCACCATGGTGCTCTTTGCTGAACAATGGCATGTACACTCAGCAGTACATCAACTTAACCTGAGCACCCAGTCTTTTTTTCCCAACGTATACAAGAAGCCTTACTCATGCAAGAAGCCTTCTATTCCTAACTCATTTAAGAAGCCTCATCATGATTTCTACATTTGAGTGTAGAAGATTAACTGCTTAATTGTTTGGTTAGAGATGACGAGATGAAATTAAGCCAGTGGTCTAATAAGCATAACTCCCAGTAAGCTAATGAGTGCTTAAAGTCTCTGAAATTCACTAATATTTGACAGGTTCTGGGCTCAAAAGCTGCCAAGAGGTATTGCTTTGAATTTGAACTTTAAGATTTGAGATTTAAGATTTGGACTTTAAGAGATGAGATGTATTTAGTGCTACACAAACCGTCATAGTTTAAACCCTCTTTGAAGTGGAATATGTGGTTAGAGTTGCTGTAGGATTGTCACTTTCCCCAGAATTTTGACCAAAAAGTGCTTTAGCAAATTCCCCAGGCACCTTGATAAACTTTAACTTTTGTATGCGTATAACTGAAATACAGATTTTGTCTTGACAGTAGGGAAACAAAGCTTTAAGTTTGCATTGTCAAGAGGAGAAATCATGGGCTTTTTTCCTCTTATTTCAAGTCTGAGTCATTCAGCAGTGACTACTGTCTGTGAATAGTTCTGGCTATTTATGAACAAAACCACAGTGATTGTTATCCCATGTAAAATCCACAGAACAAGCTGCTATGGGTAGTACAGTTGTCAGGTCCACACATAGGTAGAAAGAATGAGAGCATATTCATCTCATACAAAGCTGTAGAAGAAATACAAACATACTAATGAACAAACTCATTTCAGTGATGTAAGTGTGTGACACAGAAATTATAGGTCATGAGGAAAGGGTAAATCCCAATTTAAGCATCTGAAGTAGTGGAAGTTTTTCTCTAGACCTTAATGGGTGCTCCCTCTTTTGAACATTCATCATTCCATGCTCCCATACCCATCAGTTCCAGCATTCGGAGATCCTACCTGTACAAAAATTCAATTCCAGCAACAGTACTATGACCTATTGAGCTAGTTTTACTTGCTGAAATCAGAAGAAAATATATCTGGGGGATTTTTTAAAGGTTTCTCCCTTATGGGCATACAGGACTGGAAGTTACTCCCCAGATGACTGTATCCTATTTCTTACTGGCTCCATTCCATGTATCCCATTAATTAAGTGCTTAATTGACATTATTGATGCTTTCCTTTGTTCCCTGCTTTCTCTCTTTTTCCCAGGGCAGGCTTTTCCAGAAACTCAATGACTTGGTGACTAAAATATTTCCTCTGCTTTTATTTATGGCCACTTAATTCACATTCATTTTTGTGCCAAAGCTTTCTCTGATTTACATTGATGAAGTTAATCTTTGGTGTTTACTCCACTAATGGATTTATGCTGTATCCCCTCTGTGCCTTCATTTTAGGATGGAAAATAAAACCAAAACAACTCTTATACGATGATAGATAGCACAAAAGATGCGGGTTTCACTGCTGCAAAGATGAACAGATGAATGTGTCTTTCATGTTAATGACAAGGTTTGAGGTAGCTGTGCTGGGGGTATAAATCAGTGCAACAACTTTGGCTTCAGTGGAGCTACATCAATTCACACCACAGGGATCAAGAGCAGGACCAGTCATGTAACAATGAGCTGGGTGTGCTGCTGAGTTACATCATGCTCAGGTCGCTCTTTCTACATACAGTCATACCTTCTTGCTCTCTTTGGCTCATTTTTGTAGACTGCCATTTTCTCCATCCCCTTGTGACATTCACTGGTGCTTGCAGAAAGTTTTTACTGTTCGAAAGGACAGAACTGTTAAATTAATGAGAAAGCAAAAAACTTGATGGAAAGCTGCAAAACAGCAGCTGCTGCAGGTAACCCAGTCCTAATATTCACCTACCTGGGGTGTGCCAGGAAGGGTCAGTTAGGGAAAACATAAGGCAAGATGCAGAGTAATGGATTGATGGGTTTTGTGTCCAGTTTTCAAGGCTTTTGTTGTGTTGTGGATATTCTTTTAGTACAATACAGAAGTAAAAGGTTGTAAATGTGGGACTGGAGTTTAAAATAATTCAGAGGCGGCTTGGACATCTGTGTGGGTAGAAACACTATGAGCAGCTATTTGAGCTGATAAAAATGATAAGAGTTTTAAGGCCTTGAAGGGAAAACTAACAGACCTTTGTGCATCAGAGCCTAATTCTCCCTTTAACTGCTGACAGTTAGCAAAGAATAACAATGCTTCTTCAAAAATAACTGTATAGCCAGTAGGTCTTATTTATGGGGAGGTCAGAAGCTTTGGCTAGCTTTGGCAGTCCTCTCATCAGCTTCATGGGCTCGTTACAGCCACTAGCGGTTAAACATTAACACAGTTTTATCTGTCAGCTTGGGTACAAATACGTTCCCTGATCACCCTATTCCCTTTGTCTCCTGTAGCATCATTGCTGGTATGGCAAAAGCATGGAGGAGGGAGAAATGCTGAAAAAAAGCAATACTGAAATATTCTAAACTTAGAAAAGAAAATCCTTCTCACTGGTCTTTTAGAAGCAGTGAAGAGAATTGCTAATTGGTCTTCTTGGATGTAAGCCAAAGAGACAGACTGCTTCAAAATGGTAACTTATTGACCTTTTCATGGGTACAAGATTATTTATCTGGCTCTCATTAGGGAGAGCTGTGGCATTGTCTGTTTAATAATGTAGTGATGGCTTCTTAAAGCTATTTCCTTTCCAGAATTAGTTCTCATGTATAATCTGTGTCCTTTGGTTCTTTTTTTACAGTGGATGTGTCAATGTTCTGTATTAAGCAATCTCAGCCTAAAATAGAAAGGTCTAAACATTATACTCCTTTCACATCAGTTTTGAGGGCATACAGCTGGATTGTTGGAGGACAGGGAAAATGTAGGTCGAAAAAGCATGCATTTTATCAGCAAAATAGTTTGTATTTTGGAGAGCAAAGCCCATCTCCAAAGTCTTGCAGCTGATTGTGCCTGCCTGGTCTTATTTTGTGGAGGATCTGGCACATGTACCTGGCATGCTACCTAAACCCAAACCACAACATTCACAGAATTACTGACCCTTTGTGTGGAGTTGGCTCATCAATAAAAGAAGTAATGTTCCTCTCCTTCCTTTTGCATGGCAGCTCATGGTTAAAGAAAGACCTTGCACCTGAAGCAGGTGGTATGGATTACATGCTCAGTTTAGACTGGAAAGCTGGGACACATACGTCAGAGGGATCCCTTGCTGGAGTGATTTGTGGGTAGTAAGGCCCTGGCACAGATTGCTCAGAGAAGCTGTGGCTGCCCCATCCCTGGCAGTGTTCAAGGCCAGGTTGGACGGGGGGCTTAGAGCAACCTGGTCTAGTGGAAGGTGTCCCTGCCTGTGGCAGGGGGTTGGAACTGGATGAGCTTTAAGGTCGCTTCCAACCCAAACCATTCTATTTTATGAATCAGGCTCACATGCAGTATAAAGTAACCAGCATGATTAAAAGACACAGAAGGGAGTGCTGTTGTGTTTATCTCTGCCTACCTCGAGTTTACACATCATCAAATACCCACAATAAGTTGATGAGGTAAACTGTGTTCCCAGTTTTGTCAGAGTAGCCCCTACCAATTGGCATCAATTGGCATCAAAAAGAGCAGACATGTTGCTACATTTGGAGAAAAGCAGCCAGAATCTTCCAGGAATTAGTTTCTGAAAGATTTATTTTTTTCTCTGCTGATCATGGTGCTATGTTTTCTTAAGTGCTGACTCCGGTAAGCCTTTACAGAAAGACAGTTAATGCTTTGGAAAGCAGCCATCAGCCATCTGAGAAACAGGTTCTTACTGAACTGCTTATGCATGGCAAGGGGGGATTCACTCAGATTAAAGAGGACACCTGTTTAAAGTGAGGTTACTAAAGATGTGTACATTAAATGGTAAATATATTGACAAAATTGTCCTGCAGGAAAGATACTCAGTAAATTGGATTATCTACATTCTAACAAGATTATCCACTTAAAGGCCCCTGGGATTTGCTGGCTGAATAAAAAGAGAGGGAAGATCTAAGCTGCAGCCTAACTAAATATTTTTTAGTCCTTTTTCTCCAGTTAATGGCAAGAGCACCCTCTCCTACTCTCAGTCACCGCTCTGTGCAATCAGTGTGTTGTGCCACCTGTAGATTTACTTCAATATGTAATGATTTGTCAAAGATGCTTTCCTCTTTATCTCATGCTGCTCAGTTGACACCAGTACAAATTGAGCCCTGAGCACCTTGGGATTACTGGAAAGATGAGGGCTATGGCAACAGCCAAGGCCTTGAATGTGGTTTTTCACACATGTGGTGAAAGCCCTGCTAACCAGGCTGTCATTTTGATGTGTTGGGAATAAGTTGCAACTGGGAGCAGTGTTTGAATAGCATATGTTAGAATATCATCACCTTTCATTACAGCAACATGAGGACTGAGAGTTTTCTCAAGAGAGGAAAGCTTCTCATGTCTTCGCTGTCCTACAATAGCCACACACTACTTGGCATCAATTTGCTTTTTCATTTATCAACTAGAGGAAAAGCATGCTGTAATTCATATTTAACGAGGGGCTTGTAAAAAGAATTGTGTTCTTTTCTAGAACATGACTCATTCAAAATTAAAGGCAGCTTTCAACTAAAACCCTGCATATCTCCTGTTATTTAGACAGTATGCTTTAAAGTGCTGTAAGGGAAGAGGTACAGGTTCTTCTATTGCCTCTGATTTTTTCAGCTAACTCCTTTTACAAAATATAGGTACTTTTAAGTAATAAGGGCCTTGTGGAATCCTCCTGCTTCATTAATCATGCTTTCTATTTAACTATAAGTAATAGCTTTTCAAAGGCATTTTTGTAGACCTTTCTTGGTCACATGTGACAGCTGTTACTTGTAAGCTAATGCAGTGTCAGACATTCTGACTTCTGAGACGGAATAGCCATGACATTTCAGCAACTTTCCCAAATTGGCTTCTTGAATATTTGCTATATTTAAGTGTTTTTTTTCCCTGCATACAATCTGCTACATTTTGTTATAAGATGAAACAGAGCACGGTGGCTTTTCAACATCTGAGAATCTCCAGATACCACCTCGGGGAGCTCAGAGCAGTACTTACCCAAGTGAATGATTGTTTTATGGACCTATGTGTCACCCTGAGTGCCCAAATGTAGGATTTGCTTTGTCACGTGGAGGTGTTCAGTTTCAGTTCAGATTATGAAACCCGAAAGTCTGCAACACTCCTGAAATAACCGATGTTCATAATAAACATCAAATGAATTCTGTTACTTTTTTCCAGTCTCAAATAGTGCTTTTCATCACCATTCAGCTATTCAGGAATAAATCCCCAAAAAACCCAAACCAACAGATCACATCCAGTAGTGAAAGAATATTGTTCTGTGTAATGCCAGGATAAAAAATACCTTCCACATACTACTAACACATTCATTAAGGAACCAGTATTCTCAGTGACAGTTTACCTTCTCTACCATCTCACATATTAAAAATACAGGGATACAACTGAACTTTGAAGAACCCAGATTTTCTCTTTGTTTGGTGAGACATTGGTGTTTGGTGAGATGAAATGAGGCATTTTGATGGCTGGGCAAAACTCCTAGCTGGTCAGGTCCCAGGTTGGTCCAGCTCCTCCTCCCTCTTGTGCTCATCCCTCCTTCCAGCCATCAGCAGCCACCAGGCATCTCCTGCTGCATAGCAGTGTTGTTGCCCAGCACTTGATACTAGTCTAGGTAACAAAATTTGTTTAGATTAGGTGAGGTACAGCTCTGTGGATACCTGTGGCTGTGGGTGCAGGGTTCTCCTTCACAGTCAATGTTTCTAGGGTGGTGTTTCATGGACAGGGATGCTCAATGTGGTGGGAGAGGAGAGGTAGATAAATACAGTGACTCAGGCCCATTTTGAGTCACACAAACTGCTGAAGCATTCCCATATGTTCAGTTCACCACTATTGGAGGTGCTGGGGTATAAAGAGTCCTAATTCTCTCTTACTTTCATGAAATAATGTTATTCCCAATGGAATGAATATAGCCTCTAGATAGAAGGTTAAAATTGTGGTGAGTTTTGTCTTAGAAAAGGTACTGTGAAAATAATTATCCTGTGTCAGTGCAGTTGATTTCTCAGAATATGGTTGGGAAATTAATACTGACAGTTCCCTGGGATCATCAGGAGGGACTGTGGAATTATCCAAGGTAGGTTTTCTCCCTTGACTTCAGTGGGGCTGAATTCAGTCTTGTGCTTTGCAGAAGAGCCTTTTTACATTACAGATTCAAGTTTCCTATGGGCAACTCTCCCATTTGTGGCTAAACAGCCTTTTGGGCTGCCATTTTAAGTACAATTTTCTTCTGTTTTAATTATTGCTTTGCTCCTGGGGCAGAGTGAATAATCTTTATCTGTTCTCTCTCCAATAGGTTGATATCAAACACTGGCCTTCGGTTTTTACCTGCTGTCCATAAGGTGCATTCTTTCCATAAAGTTTTGCTGTAAGTTTTAATGTCTGCTTTTCACTTTTAAAAGCTCCCTTTGAATGGTCTTCTGCTCCAGCAAAACCTTTCAAGATATGATTCCCCTTTCAAGACGTGATTCCTCTTGTGTTTCCTTATTAGCTTCATGTGGTACCATTTTGGATTGTAATTTTCTAGGGCCGATGATGATGTTGCCCAAAAGGTCTCAGTTCTCTCTAGGTCTCCCTTCCACAAAGCATTCTAATTTGCACTTTACAGACCGCTCTTCCTTTAGCTACGCTGTGAGTGTGTGCCTGGGTGGCCCAGAGGGTGGGTAACAGCCTTTTACCCCCCTTTCACCGGCTGAAATCCAAACCAGGCTCGTGGCACTGGAAATGTGCTGCCACCTGGTGACCGTTCTCTGGCTTGCATGGGAAGGGTTGATCTCAGAGCTGTGTCCTGTGGAGAGGTACCCACATCACAGAGTCAAAACCAAAAAGGAAACACAGGGGAATATCTCTACCCTACCCTTTTCTTTCTTTGCCACTGGCAGTAAAACTGTCCAGAGAATGAGATATTTTTCCTATGGAAAAGTCTGGTGGCAGCAGGGAAAAAAATGTTTGTGTAAAGTTTTGTGTGAAGTGCTTTTTTTTTTTACTGTAAAAGCATCAGGGATTTGGGGTAAAAAATACAATCAGAAAAAGCTTGATATTTTTTCACTGAAAAAAAACCTTGACGTAAGATTTTTAATCAGTTCTTAGTATAATTGCAGCCAGAGCACAAAGGAAGCAAGCAACTATTTCTTCTCCTCCTTTGGCCAAGATATATTGTTAATGCACAGGCAAAGTTCTGCACGTCCAAATCTCTGACTAGAAGATTTCAAGCTGCAGCAACATTAATCGTGCAATTGCCTTAGTAATGGCCATTGATATAAACAAAAATGCATTGAAAACATAGAGGGGGGTGCCTGAGTATATGGTATACACATATATAAGTTAAAAAATATATTTCTGTCATATACTTGACATGTAATTCTGAGAACTGCACTTCAGGGCTCCCCAAGACCACCAAGCAAATGCAACAGATTCCTCCTAGGAACAGATATACCTATATATGTTTATCATCAGTGTTAACTAGACTTGAATTATTGTGCCCTGCTGAGCAAAAGGTTTGGGGTTTTTTTTCAGGTAAAACCCTTCACTTTGCTGTAAGAAGGGGAAGAGGTTTTAAACTGACAGAGGAGAGGTTTAGATAAGACATTAAGGAGAAATTCTTCCTTGTGAGGGTGCTGAGGCCCTGCCACGGGTTGCCCAGGAAAGCTGTGGCTGCCCCATCCCTGGCAGTGTTCAAGGCCAGGTTGGATGGGGCTTAGAGCAACCTGGTCTAGTGGAAGGTGTCCATGCTTGTGGCAGGGGTTGGAACTGGATGAGCTTTAAGGTCCCTTCCAACCCAAACTATTCTATGACTCTAAGAATAGACAGGACTTGATACTGCTTGAGTCCTAGACTAGACCTTGGTTCAAACTCTGGCCCCACTGAGGTCAATAATTCCCACTAGCTTCAGTTGAGCCAGTATTTTAAGTCCCAAAGACACATCTTGATTGGCCACAGATACTTATAAAGGGCTGGTGCTGATCTTTAATAAAGGGATACACTTCACTGCATGGATGCAACACTCCCTCCCTACTCCTACCTCTGCTGACCTCAGTTTGCACAATGAGGCCTCTGTGTAAGTATCACTTAATGCAGAGTTGTGGCCAAACTCAGCTGTCAGCATGAGATAATTCTGGAGCCGCACTTAATTTCAAGCTTTCAGATAATTTATTGCATACTGTGCTTTCCAACAGAAACAGCATGAAAACAACCATATCTCAGTCTAAATTATGAGTAATCCTATTTAACTTCTTTGAGGTCTATTTTGAGCAAGCAACAGAATGTACATCTATATTAGTCAAAACTGCTGAAAGACTGACAGGCCTACTTGTCAGTTCAACAAACTGCATTGACAGGGGGCCCAGGTCTTAAGTTCTTAAGCACATACAAAGCTTATAAGGAACCCTGTTGACATGGGGGGGGGGGGCACTGGGGGGAAATGATTCACGGGTTGGTAAGTCAGGCCAAAAAGGCTAATGACTTCCTTCTTCTGGTTGGGAGGCTGCGAGAAGCAGCCCCTCAGCTTGCATTTTCTGTGTAGTTTGTTTGCTGAAGAACTGTCTCATCCACCTCAGGAGTTTTTATGAGCCCTTATATGAGGGCTATGAGACCAAAGCTTTTATGCATTTTAATTGCTTCAGCCTATTTGTGAGGAAAGTGTGGGGGTTCTGGAAACGTTTTGCTCCAACCTTTTTTTTACCATGAAAACTCATCGTTTGTGCTCTGCAGGCAAAATATCTTAAAACCTTGACTTGTTACCCTTCGTCTATAATGCTTCCTCAAATTGTATATGTGGAAAAATACTGTGGTGGAAATAGAACTGAATTAGTACAGTATTGAAAGGCTCACAAAGGTACAAAAATATCTATTATTGTATACACGATACACTGGTTTCCACTGTATTTTATTTTTCAGGGATATTCAAGACAATATCAATATACGTACAATTGAAAGGAATTCATTCATGGGCCTCAGTTCTGAAAATCTGATTCTGTGAGTAAGACTTAGAAAATTCATTAATCTTCTTGTTGGCTCTCTTTTTTTTTGTGCTGAATAAAGTCAAGGAAATCAGGGGATGGGCACTATTTCATAAGTTTCCAAATTCAATCTGAGGTTTTAGGCTTCTTCCCTACCCCTGAAATCCAGGTATTCTGTTATCCTGCCATAAAAAATTAATGCCTTTGTGAGTTTTTGTTGTGTTCTAATCCTACTCTTTATTTTAGAAACACAGCATACAGCATATTTAGCAATTACTGATGCCAAGGTTAAACGTATTCCACCTACAACAACAGCTCCATGTGATACAAATTGTGTTCAAAAGGATAGCATGACTCATAAATATTTACACTCAGACACATCATTCAAAGGCATTTATTACTCCAGCAAAATATATGCAGATGTTGTGGAAATGCACACAATATTAATGCATTGATATAGACCAGTTCACAACACAGTTTCAAGCTGCATGGTTAGATGATTCTACATTTGACTTGAACAGTCATGTATTTTAATGAACTATCTGACTGCTTTGATTGCTTCTGTTGGTATGTCAAAACCTACTGTTTGCTTGCTAACAAGCTGTCTTCATTTCACCTAACCAGTGACCAGACTGGAAAACTTTCCCACTCTGTGTGTGTGCAGTTTGCTTCACATCCTGAAATAGACAAGCAAGATCTGATTGACTGAATGGGCTCACATTGATCTTTATGGGAGCAAGGTCAGACCATCAATATTGTCCCCATCAGGGAGTGTAGTGATAGGACAAGGGGTAATGGGTTCAAACAGGGGAGATTTAGGTTACATATAAGGAAGAAGTTCTGCCCTGTGAGGGTGGTGAGATCCTGGCACAGGCTGCCCAGAGAAGCTGTGGCTGCTTTGCCCTGCTTCCTGCAATGTGTGCAAGGAGACCTGGCCACCATCACCTGGTCACACGATGTCCTGACTCTGCTATAGTTCTCCCTTTGGATAGAGGCCCTGCCTGTGTGCTTTGACAGTCCCTGATTAGGCTTTCATGTCCAAGCTCTGCATCTCTGCCTCCATTGTCACTTGGTGCTAATGTAAGAGTTAGTGGAGTTGCTAAGGCTGGAAGGGAGAGGAGAGTTTGTGTCAACAGAAACTTGTCTCTGTGTAGTCTTGGGGTTGGGGATTTAGGTCTTGGGGATTGGGATTTTGCTCTTTTTACTGTTTGAATTCAATTAGCCAGGTAATGGGAGTGTATAGTCCACACTGTATGGCAACGGAGACTCTGGTTTTACAACCTTAGTATCTCATTTCATAGCATTATGTTCAGTGAAAGAATGCAGTAAATGCTAATCTGTGATTAAAAGCATATATATCAGCCTGACAGTTATGAATGGACAAGATCAATGTAATATAATAGATGTTTTAAATGCTATAAGCAGGGACATGTCTCTCCTCTGTGCCTGCTTAACTCCTGCCTAATAGTGCTTGCAAGTGAAGGGAACGGTGATAATTCTCCTCATCTGACCTTACAGACATTATAGACACAGAGCTATGTACATCTGCCTGTCATGGTCAAAAGGGTAATCCTTTCAGCCAGACCCATAACTGGTTTTCATGCTGACCTTAGCTCACCACTTCAGACCTTATCTAAGTGGGTCACTCACATTCCCAGCTTTCAGTGTGAGTTAAAAACAAAACGTCCAGGTTTGCTGACAGTTTAATTAAATCAGCCCATTTTTGCCATCAATCAGACCTGTCAGTGCCTGTTGGAGAGGGTGTGAGTTGCAAAGTGACATTTAAAGGGAGATGAAAGATTGCATCACAAAGACGGTAAATATAACTGACCCAAATGTAAATTTTCAGGACGGTGAAGGGAAGAGAGGGAAGGACATTAAACCTTAATTAGTTAATGCACTTCAGTGACAAATTGGCAGGAGCTTTGATTCCAAGGTTCATATCTCTGTCTCCTCCTGGGGGAAGAAGCCTGGGGAGGTGGGACTGGGGCAGCAGAGCAGACAGGGAGTGTAATTTCTCAAGGCAGCAGTTGTAGGAGGAATCAGTCACTTCCTGGGAGGTTTGGCACCACCACCACCCCACTTTGGTCCTCGCAAAGGTTAAGCTGTGGCCCAGTGTTTAAAAAGCATCTTGAATAAAGTAAAACTAAGTGGCACCAACAGCACTAGCAAGAAAGATCCTGGTCTCCCCCGTCCTGGGATTAAGCTGGAACAGCCTCACTGATTCCGCTGCTGCTTCCAGTACCAGCAACTTCATCAGCTCTGCCCTTGCTCCAGCTATTGTCTCTGATGGTAGCACCTATCTGCCTTACTCATGTCTACATTCCAGAGCCTTCCTCCAGCTCCTGGGATACTACTTGCTAGAATTTATAGACATGTCATCATTTGAATATGCATTTAATAATTTTATTTGTTTGAGATTCCTTTCATGGATGTGAATTATATACATTTTAGTTGTGAAGCAGGAATAAGAAAGCTTTCTCTCTATTACAGATGGCTGAATAAAAATGGGATTCGGGAAATAGAGGATCATGCATTTAATGGAACCTTCCTGGATGAGCTGTAACAATTTCTGTTGTTTACTATTCTCAAAAGCAATCATTAGAAGGTAGTAACTGCTACAAGGGCTATTTTAATCTCAGATTCTTTTAGCATGAATATTTTTGTGTTTTTTCAGAAATCTAAGTGATAATCACAACCTCGAAAGACTACCAAATGCGGTCTTCCAAGGAGCCAGTGGGCCTATTGTTTTGTAAGTAATATTCAGATATCATTTTTCTCACTACTAACTCCCTAGTTAGTATAGGGAATAGAGAAGAACATACCAATGCCAGTCTGGATCTCAACATCTCATAAACATTGGAGTTCAAAACTGGAGGTATATATTGGAAGCTATAAGTGAAATTTCAGTCTAGATCGATATTTTTACTTTGTCCTCAAGTTTTGGAGAGTATTTGGATCAAGGAATTTAAATCCAGATTCCACAGCTGATTAAGCTCTGTAAGAGAATAGATCTGCTTTGTGTTTTTTTTTCCAGAGAAAAATGCATAGTTTTTTGGGTTGAGCAAGATCAAGAACAGGTGAGTGGGTCCTCAGTGCTTAGATCTGAATTGCTCACCACTGAAGATCTGCCCCTGCATCTCTAAGGCTTAATTCTGAAGAGGAATTCCCTAGCCTACAGGGATAGCTAGGTATGAGATATATCTCATGCAGTTACAGGAAGGTGTCTTTGGTGGGTGGTAAGCTGGAAAGAAAGACCTTAGCAGTAGAGAATTCTGCAGTAAGAATGCTTATGGATCTCAGTCACCATTACCTCAATGGTTTGCCGTGGGGCCTGAAAACACCCATAAGTGTGCTCAACTGCTTGTGTGCTCAGCGCAAGGCACAACAGAGAAGAGCTGCAGCAGAGACATGGGAGTCATATTTTGTCTCACCAATCCATCAGAGCCCATTTACACTGGATGTCCAGAGAGGGCTAAGAGTTAACCAGAAAGGTGGAAAAGGAGTCACTGAAGCTGTTGGAAGATTTTACACAGAGGTTAGAGTGGTTAGAAACCTACAAAAGGAGAATAATGTCTGCAGTTCAGATCAGAGCTCTTCTGAAGGCCTTATTTCCACATTGTGATGGTCAGTGCACCTGTGATACAAAGAGTTGAGTTATATGTGATATGGGTTACTGCTTTCTGCTCCACTTCTATCACTCCCTCACAGTATCTTTCTTTTTCTTTGGAAAAGACTGCTAGTGAAGCATCATTTGAGCAGTAAGATCGTAGATGTTCCTTTTGAAGAGCATTCTTTCCTGTAGTGAAAAGTAAATGCATTTTCTCTGCAAGCTGTAGCTGATACAATCATATTCTGGAAGTCTATCAAATTGGTTTGGCTGTAGCTCAGATTCCTTTGATAGTTCAATTGCTAACACTGCGATATTTGCGTAGGAAGTTTTCTGTTCCATTACCAATACATCCACTATCCTATGGATGGGAAATTACCTTTTTATCCAAACTGATTTAAGGATAAGAGCCTTCTTACTTATTCATCACTGTAGCGTACATCAGGAATGCACGTACAGAAATGACTGACCCATAATCATATCTTTGTTGGGACAAGTAGTGTTGCTGCAATCAAATCTGTGTTGCAGACTGCAGTATTTTATTAAAATGAATGTCAGGATGTTTTAACTCTTCCTGCATTAGTTTTCTACAGTTAATTTATACCAACTTCTGTTTTATAATGCAGCATATTAAAATAGTGTGAAGAAACACAAACATGAATAGTAACATCAGAAAGCACCAATCAGCCCTCATACAGGCTACACAGTTTCACAAATCCGTAGACCAGTTCCTCTCAGGCTTATAGCTCTTGGCTGAATTAGAATATCATCATCTAGAAAGACATCAAGTTTTAAAGGATTTCAGCACTGATGGTAGGCAGGGAAATCAAATAGCTAATTACTCCCACACCTATACGTATTCATTCTATAAAGAAAAACACTGTATTTCCAACTTGGAATTTCATAGCTTCAATTTTCACCCGTATTGTCTCATTTAATCGTCTTCTGATGCTCCCAGAGCTGTAGTGGCTTACATCAGCTTTTACTGAAGTCCTTTGGAGTTCTTTGGCTGTGTCCTCACTTGGGTGCAGAGCAAGGTATGGCTGTGGTCCATCCTAACCTTGCAATTTGCCTTCAATGGGAAATCCATGTATGGGGGCCACAGGAGAGCTCCAGTTGATTCCCAGCTCATCAGCTGAGTCCCTAGAGCACAGGGAAAATATTTCTCACCAATCAGTGTGATTGGTGATTCTGCTTTCTGCTCTGATCTGTGCTCCATCAGCCCATTCTTGCTGTTTCTTTATGTGCCTTTCCGACCTCGTCAGTTGGTCAGTAATTTTGCTAATCCAACAGAGACTCCCAGTGGGAAAGAGAAGTGATTGGAAGTCAGATTCATTTTGCTGTTCTTGAGCTGGCTGCTGTCAAGGCTGATGACTAGCAGCCAAGCAATAATAATACAAGAACATGTATTCCAGTCACTGATGCTTTCTGGTTTGATTTCTTACTGCCACTTTATTGTCTTGTTCATCATGCTTATTTGATTTATCAAGCCTCTAACTAGAGAGCAATGTCCCAGAGAACCTCTGCACTGAGTCTGCATGACTCAGTTGAGTAAGTTACTAAACCCCATGCACAATGTCTGTGTTTGCTGTTTGTGGGCTTGTCAGTGGTGTATTGGTAACTGTCCCTAACAGACATACCAACAACAACACTTTCCCTAACTCACTCCAACTTACGTGCAATAATGAGCATAAAAAGATATTTCTTATAGAAGAAAATAATGGAAAAATATTTAGTATTTATGTAATTATTTAAGATGCTCAGAGATCCAGTGACATTTTAGCTATTTTTTTAAGTCTAGGTGATGCTCCTATTCACAGTTGGGACTCAGTAAAGATTTTTAGCTAACAAGATAAAGAAAATATTTTCCATGCTCTTGTTGAAAATTATGAGCCCTTATGAAGCCCCACAGGCTCTCAATGATGCCATGAGTGATGCCATCAGTGGATTTAGGCAGAAAACTGCTGTTAACTAAACAGTTGAGACAGAAGTAAGTGCATACTTACATATATATTTCATTAGGCAGCAGCATGCTAAGGGCAACAGCCAGTCCATGAAACAATCACGGTTGCTTATTGTAACCAAATTACCTCTTCAAGCATCTAAGTCAGGTATCGATAGCCTAAAATTTCTTGTCAGCTGCTGCTTTTAGCTCCTGTGAGAAGCAGGTCAGGCCCAGAACAACCTCAGGACCACAGCATGGCTGCTCTCAGCCTGACCTGCAGAAGTTCAGAGCAGGTCTGTCTCACCCTGCCAGTAGAAGTCATGGCCCCAGATTAGGGTAGGGGAGTGCAGTCTTGCTCCTCTGCTTCCACAGTTCATAGTCCAGTTGTTGAAGGTAGCATATCCCTTCAGAGCCTGGAAGGTGCCCAAGCTTCAGCTATGGGCACAGCATGGACAGAAAGATATCTTTACCCACCACTGACTTCACGATCTGCTTTACTAGCTGCCTGTGGATTTGTTAGACTTGGCCACCCTAAGCTAACTAACTATCACTCACTGTGAGTTCAAACAGAGCCATTTCCTGGTATTCATTTCACTTCTTAGAACAGAGTTGCAAATGCAAAATGGTACATAGCAGCTGTCTAAACTTTATTATATGCTGCTAAAACCTGGTCTCCCCCTTACATGACATTTTACTGCATTAATATGATGATAATAAAAATCTAACTATTCTATGGTTCTGTGTTGGGTTATAGAGATCAAACAATAGGTTATCCTGACTTCTTATTGTTATTAATTGGATAATTAATTAGATTAATTGGATACCGTACCTTGCAGGGGGCATGGAGAAAATGACAAATATTGTCAGTCCAGTTCCTTGATTAGGGAAATTTCATTTCCTTTGTTGGAGACTAAAGAGCAGAGCAGCCTCAGCAAACACTGCATCCTGGATCAGTCTCAGGCCATAAGAGCACAGGGGGTGAAGGGAGGACAGGATGATTTTGTGCAGTTCATTTTATTGTTGCTTCTGAGAGAAAGGAGTGTGCTCTCTTGCTGTCACAATCTAAGGGACACAGTTTGTGCCTTGGAGACGTAAATGTGGGGATGTTTTGCCCCAGCTGTTACATCCTGGAGCCACTGGGATGTGTTCCCAAGTATTTCTTAGCCTGGAGATGGAGCACCCTTGGTCCTTCTTCTCTTTCCCCACCTTCAAGGCACAGGTCAAGATTTAGCATTTGCACAATGGGTTTCCTTTTAAAAGCCCTAATGATCTCTTTAATGCATTTGTAGCTGCTGCTTCCATCCCTGCCTTTGATAACCCATCCCACACAGTAATTGCCTTCCATACAAATACATCTCTCCAAACCTCCTGTAATCTTGCCCCTTTCTCAGCTTCAGTCTATGCTGTCTTTATTTTTCAAACCTCTGGAAATGTTTTCTTATTTTTGTTCCTCACAGTTTGAACCAGCTCACCCGTGTCTCTCTTTGATCTCTTTCTCTTCCTAATGAGCACAAGACCCGATATCCCAACCTCTCCTCACATACGTACCCCTACGTGAGTTCGTCTTTTTGTGTTTAGTGCTTTTTCCACAGCAGCCTTCCCCTGAGGTGATGTTCATGCAGCAAACTTCTGTTGTGGTTTCGTCAGCCTTTTTTACCCTGTAGCAGTACTGTGGGATGATTGTTGTATTTGCTGGGTATTTACTAAATCCAGTACCATATGGCACTAATGGTTTATGTTCCTGCTAATTCTAACATAGAGAGTTTTTTCTGAGACCAGACTAACATCATTTGATTGTTGTTGGCAATGGATATTAGTTCAGGTTTCCTGGAGGAACACATAATTAATCCCAGGATCCTCTTTTCAGTGTACATTTCCAGCTGATCTCTTTCCAATCACTACTCTGAGAATGAGCAGGACAGTCCAAAACACATATCCACTGTCAAGAAGAAGTAGATTTGCTTTTTACCAAGATTTTCTTATGTTTTCTTAAAGGGATATTTCAAGGACGAGAATCAGCTTCCTGCCAAGTCATGGATTAGAACTCATTAAGAAGCTAAGAGCAAGGTCTACATACAATTTAAAAAAGCTTCCTGATTTAAGCAAATTTAGAGCTTTGATTGAGGCAAACTTCACCTATCCCAGCCATTGCTGTGCATTTACAAACTGGAAAAGACAAAAGTAAGTGATTTCATTTGTTTTTCTTTCTGGTACCTCTCAGCAGTTTCTCAGGACGTAGGTCTCATCTCCATGATGCCGTTTACATTAGTGTTATGGTTAGGTGTAGGGTTAGGATTAAGGGATCCACAAGTCCTACATATCCAAAGGCACCTGGGTTTCAAAAGAGATGCCAGGGGAGTATGGAGCAGGACCAACACACCTTTCTCATCTGGGTCAGATGCCTCATCTCCATGACGCTGTTTGGGTTAGAGTTAGGGTTCAGCGATCCACAAAGCCTACAGCTCCAGGGACACTGGGGCTGCAAAAGGCATGCAAAGCTGTGCACAAAATAGCACCAACATTATTCATCCCATACCTCTCTTATGTGGGCCAGACATGGTACTCATGACAGAGGCCTCATTTCCATGATGCCACTTACATTAGGGTTGGGTTAGGGTTAGGGCTGAGGTATTCACAAATCCTATGATTCAGATGCATGATCCCATTCAGATTCAGGGTAGGGTTAATGTTCAGAGATCCACAGAGCCTTCAGCACCAGGGATATTGGAGATGCAGAGACACATCAAGGACTACATGGCACTGTACGAACATTACTCTTTGGATACCTTTTTCATCTCATTAAATGAACTTCCTTAAAGTCTGGATGGAACAGGTCTCTTCAGTGCAGGTAAGTAAATGGATAGAAATAAATATATATAACAATACATAGAGGTTCATGCTATACAGTGCAATGCCTCTCTACTAAAGGAGAATAATACATTTTGATAGGTGTGTTAGCATCAGCATTTTCCCCAGCTATGGCTCTAGCTCCCACTAGCTAAAGGTCCATCTGTCACCGTGACCTGCTATTCTGGATCATCCTGGAGCCATGCTGAAGGCATTCAACAGGAAAAGGTTGATAACTTACCAGGAGGTAGCTGGAGAGAAAGCTGCATTCACACAGAAGCTGGTTGGTACTTGGCCATCGATTCAGGAGGGTAATAGGACCACTGCATGATCTCAAACTTGTCTCTCAAGAAGCCACATTGATCTTGAAACAGCTACCAAGCGCTACAGATACAGTATCTGTCAAGTCTACATACACAACATTTTTGGACATGATTTATGAAATGGTTAATCTAGGACAGACCTTTTCTACCCAAATCAACAGAGTCAGGGCATGGTGCCTTTTTAGATTCCCAAAATAGTTTTCCATGCTTATTTTAATTTTCTATTAGCAAATTACAGTGAGACTTCAAGTATCAATGATTCTCATTGAGTATTATCAGCTCAGATAGACTGACTTCAAATGTACAAGTTAACTAGTTAACTGTGATGTGACACGACTTGCCACACACTAATTTTTCTGTGGCCATTTGGGTCTCAAAAATCATGCTGTTTGTTAGGGGTTGTTTTATTTACTTCCAGGTAGTCCAGGCAGGATAAAAAGGATGCTTCATCACCCCACAGGAGCATCTCTAAGGATCACTGCAGCAATTGGTATTCATACACGGAATCTGGGAAGGAATTAAGACAGGGATGTGTGGTCCCTTTCTGCCTGCCCCATTTATGTTAGATTTTCTCTCCCTGAGAATTCTGCAGCACTCCAGAACATTAGATAAAGGAAGTTGCCATAGTGGATCATACTTGATCACCTGTTCCAAATCCATCTGTACTGCTGAACAGGTGCTGTTGTGATAACAGAAAGGTTAAACCTGTTACAGCAGCATTGCTTTCTAAATTTTGGAGCATGTCACATCGAGCACAGCTCCTCCACACTGAGGCGCAAATTAAACCAATTTTGATGCTTTCCTTTCCCTCCCCCCCATTCCAGTAAGGATTATATTGCCAGATTTTTCCAATCCTGTAAAATTTATCATACTGGCCTAACAGAAGGTGAACTGCTTTCCTAGGACAAACCCAGTGCAGTTTGCTGAACACCCCTCATGTTTTTGTGTGACTGCACTTGAAGTGCAGATAGGGCAGAGCCTGAATGTTAAAACCCTTAACTTGACATAGACCATTATGAACTTCAGCAAGCTTTTGGCTTTCTTTGACATAAAGATCACCGTCTGCCTGAAAGAATGACATTGATATGACTCTGTCCTTATACTCAATCATTATTCTTTGGAGGAGCTGTCACAAGAAATCCTACTTTTTCTTTAAGTATGGCAGCATCAGTAGCCACGTTTGGGCCTTGTCTCATGAGAACATACTATCAGCTGCTCACAGCTCACTTGGTGTCACTTTTTGGTGAGAATGACTGCTTTGAGATAGGGCTTAATACAGAACCCAAGTTGGGACTATTTATTCTACTGAGCGTGTTCCTTAGCACACAATATTCTGCTGTCACTAGATCCAAATGAAGCACATAAAACAATGATGTGCAAAAGTAGTCATTTTTGTTTAGTTTTGTCAGAGCACTCTACCCATTTTAACGTTATTCTTTAAGTTGTCCTTTCTCTATTTTCAGAGGGTTTGCTTGAGCAAAGCAATGTTAAACAGGTTACACAGAGACTGAACAAATTAACTGTGCTACAATACTACCATCTCATAAAAAAGCAAGGACCCATCCCTTGCCAAAATACGTTTAAACTTGTTGCTTTAAAAGCACCACAGAATCCAAAGAGCAAACACCCAAGGGCAAAGAGCTGGTAAGCAGTCAGTACCAAAGCAGTTTGCCCATCCTACCTGCTCACAGTTGACCAGGAAGAAGACTCCTCACCACCCATCCTCAGAGCAAAAACAACAGCTAAACCTCTGCAGGACTCTGGTTTTCTTTGGGACCACTCGCTGTAAAGTCACTCAAGAATTAATGGATTGTAATAACCAGAAATATTTAACTGGCTTTACATAGCAGTCTTGTCAGGGGACAAATTTAGCTCCAGGCGGTGCCTCTGTAATTTGGGAAAAAGTTTATTTTTAACTCATAGCTGAGAAATGACTAGATAAAAACCATTTCCCTCAGTTCATTGCTGAAACACCACCAATTGCAGTAGCTTTCAGTGCCCTCAAGTGCCTTTTTCACTCAAAACTGAGGGACTTTCTTTCCCTTTATTGCTCCTTGGGGGCATATGCTCCCTTTCAGCTAGAGAACTGTTGATATATTGATCAATACACTGGACCCCTCACTCATCCTTATGCGAGCAGAACACAGGGGAGCAAAATGTAATGCCTTGTTATTGCTGTTGTGACCTTCATAGTACATATTTGACCTCACAGAAAATCAGTTTTTTGCCTCAGTTGACAGGCAAGATGAAAAATATTGATAATAGTAGAGGATGTTCAGAACCTCATAGGAAATGTCCCTCACCTTCTGATGCTGGGGCTTCATTAGTTTTCCTTTCTTGCAAACCTTTTAAATTCAATTTTTGGAGGATGTAGAGAGTGCACAAAGTCAAAGGGTAAAAGCACATTACAAAAAAAGTCTCCTTTTTAAGCTGCTACCAATTCTTTAAAATTTTCAACCCAAAACTTGCCTAGAAAGCTCTTTTCTCAGCTGCACCACAAGTCAGGGTGGAAGATAAAAGTTTAAGTCTAAAAATAACCTAAAAAAATAACACCTAAACTGATGTCTGGGCTGTAGATTAAAGTAGGCAGAGCTGAGCTGGGTTGGTTTTGAAACACATTGTCATCTGTTTTATTCCCTAAATCAGATTAGGCCTAGATCCATCTTACGCAAAACTATGGATGCACATGTCCGGGACAGCAAACTTCAAAGGCAGCCTAGAAGAAGCAGTTGTAAAATCGGACCCTTTTTTCCCTGTTGATACATTTGGATGTTTGTTTCTGAGATTGATAAAGCTGATCATCCTTCTGTCATCTCAACCAAAGCATTTCTATCCTCTTCTGCTGGTCTAGGCATGAAGGAGGATATAGAATTAATACTGTATAAAATAAAGCCAAACACAAAACTTACCAGTGACAGGTTATGTGAGAAATCTACTTGAAACAAGGGAGGCAGCTTACACAATGCATTATCCAAGTGCATAACTGGATAATTGCATAACACAAGTGTTACGCAGGCAAATATTAGGCTTTCCTTTCCCTTACATTTTATGATGTTTCTAAACCTTTTACACTTCCATGTAATATTTTTATAAACAGGAACCAGCCAGACTATTGATTTCAAGCTCCAGGGTAGTCTATATAATCAGCTAACCAGGAAAACTGAGCTGTTAATGGAAATGGGATGATTTTGTGTTTGTTGTATGTCATGTGCCATCAGTTTCTAACGCTACTCTTCTTAAAATTTCAGCACTGAAATACATCCAATATGCAGTATATCATCTCAGAACAAGCAAGACACTGATGAGCAGCCTGGCAATAAGATCCGTAGACAACCTGCAGCTGAAGAGGATAGTTCCAGCTATGGTGTAGGATTTGATCCAGCAGAGAATGAATTTGACTATGGTTTGTGCAATAAAGTAGTTAACGTAGCTTGCTCACCTAAACCTGATGCTTTCAATCCATGTGAAGATATCATGGGCTACAACACTCTGAGAATTCTGATATGGTTTATCAGCATTTTAGCTATCACTGGGAACATTGTTGTCCTCATTATTTTAATAAGCAGCCAATACAAACTCACCGTACCTCGCTTTCTAATGTGCAATCTTGCATTTGCAGACCTCTGCACAGGTATCTACCTATTGTTTATTGCATCTGTAGATATCCAGACCAAAAGCCAGTACTACAACTATGCCATAGACTGGCAAACTGGAGCAGGATGCAATGCTGCAGGATTTTTTACAGTGTTTGCAAGTGAGCTCTCAGTCTACACACTGACTGTGATAACTCTGGAAAGGTGGCACACCATCACCTATGCCATGCAGCTGCACCGCAAGGTCCGACTTCGTCATGCTGTGATTGTAATGATTTTTGGCTGGTTGTTTGCTTTTACAGTGGCACTTCTTCCCATAATTGGGGTCAGCAGCTACATGAAGGTCAGCATCTGTTTGCCCATGGATATAGAAACACTGTTTTCTCAGGGTTACGTTGTATTTCTTTTAGTGTTGAATGTACTCGCATTTATGATTATATGTGCCTGCTATATCTGCATCTACTTTACTGTGAGAAACCCTAATGTGGTCTCTTCAAACAGTGACACCAAGATTGCCAAGCGCATGGCCATCCTGATCTTCACAGATTTCCTCTGCATGGCACCAATATCTTTCTTTGCAATATCAGCCTCACTCAAGGTTCCTCTCATCACGGTCTCCAAATCCAAGATCCTACTGGTTTTGTTTTACCCCATCAATTCCTGTGCAAACCCTTTCCTCTATGCCATTTTCACAAAGACTTTCCGCAGGGATTTCTTTGTTTTATTGAGCAAGTTTGGTTGCTGCGAAATGCAAGCCCAGATTTACAGAACAGAGACGACCTCATCTCATAATTTCCACACGAGAAATGGCCATTGCCCTCCTGCATCAAAAAGCAGTGATGGAACTACTTATGCATTGGTTCCTCTGAATCACTTAAAATGCTTGCGTGAATTCGTGTCTGAGGCAGTGTGATAATCAGTTTCAACTGTGAATTTGAATAATGACATTAGCATTCTAAACTACTTTTTTCATGACAAAAAGAATTTACTTCCACTCTCCTAGTTTAGCTCCATGAAGAGCCGAACACATCACCTTCAACATCTTGAGCAAAGAATAGAACTTCAGTATGTCCTGAAGTGTTCTTGTGGAATCATTCCACATAAATGAGATAACAAACTGGTGTCTCCCACCATATAGGCAGAGACAATCCTTAATTCTAGGAAGATGTTAGCTGCTTAGGGAAAATTAAGTAGTGGTTATCTACAGTGAAAGATAAAGGTAGAACTAGGCTTTTTTTGCCTGTGAAGCATGTTTTAATGATAATACAGAATTAGCTCTTTTCATTAATCATATCTCCTGGGGTTGCAGGAGACAGAAGGCCAACTGAATGCCCTCCTTCAGCACAGACTTAGTACAAATGAGAATAGCGTATGTATTTTGTGTTAGTTTATTTCTGTTGACCACAGCAGAGGGGCAGAAGGAATCTCCAGCTGATGTTTGCATGGATGAACCTGCCTTTCTCTGCACAGAAGTGTCACTTTGGGTGGGATTTGTGTTGCTGTAGCTTGGCAGACTCAGAGAACCAAATTTCATCTGAGTTTGTAACAAGGATTTTTTGGGTTGGGTTTGTTTTCAAGGTTAGAGCAAGAACAAGAGTAGGGGAAATCCTTCATAATACGGGGGATGCTTTCTCAACTTGATCTCTTAAAGTTGGGTTGAAATCACTTTTGTGTGGCTGAGCCCCTTGAGTATGCAGGATGGGCCAAGGGGCTGTTCTAATGTGATACCTGAGGCAGATTTGCCATACATCAGTATTAGTGCATTACATTATCTGGGCTGTGTAAATGATAACAAACGTAGATATGGCTTTTGAAAACCCAAAGGAAAGTTTTTGTGAAATCCTGAAAGTTCTTTTACCCTTTCCCTTTTTAAAAACACCCAAACCCCTCCATTTGCACATTCAGAGAGTGGCCCGGATTGAATGACCTGAGAGAAACCATACACTGCATATGTTGAAATAACAAAAATACCTCTTAATCGAGACTTCCTGATTGTATAAGGCTTTTGAATAATACCTGAATGAACATACAGACTCCTTACATGATTTGAGTATCAACCGTTTTGAAGGTTAATCATTCCAAATCACATCAACGCTTGAGGGCTGGGTAGGGTTTTCTCATGCTGATTGTGGGGGTATATGGGCATAAAGAAAAAAGTAGGCCAGGAGTCTGGGCTTCATTCACACCTCACAAACAATTGAAGGTTTTGCCCCATGAGATTATCAATCTGTGGAGCCTTCATGGTTAAATGTGATTTGCTTTGAATATTTCCTGCCCGCAAGTCCTAACATTTCAGTAGCAATTCTTGCTGTTTCTGTCCATAATTTTCCCTGTCATCAGCTTCACATTTCTGCATCTGACCTGATGTGAATAACTACAGGAGATGATTATTCCTTCAGTCCTAGACAGGGAAGGAAGCGCCAGCTCCCTAGTGCATAAAACAGGGGAGATCAAAGATAATGTGTTTTGGAGAGGGAAATTTCATTACTCAACACAAGTAACACTCCCTCCAGGATTCAGGAGAAGGAAGAATGAAAAACAGGAAAGACAGTTTATCTATGTCTGGGAAACTCTTCTGAGGAATCATTTCTTCACAAATGCTTTATGTCACATACGGTGTACTGGTGTGCAGCCATTAAACCCCATCCCAACAGTAGTGTCTGAATGATGATATTCCAAACTGACAAATAGTCTTGTATTAAAAAAAGACTCTTCAATCTGATTTTGGGCCAAAACCAAGGGGTGGGTTTTGGCAAACACTAGCCCATTTTTGTTGATAAATAGGGCAAATTCTTGTAGTCTTATAGGCCCTGACCCTTTGCAAAGGCAGTAGGATGAGACCTGGCAGTTCAGGAAAGCACAGGCATAGTCCACAAGCCAGTCATGTAAATTCTCCCACAGCTACACCAGTTTGGCACATAAGCTTGGTACAGCTCATCTACTTCATGCAAAACCATTGCTCAGAATCAGGACATGGTTGAATATGCTTTACAAATAAATCACTCCTGAACAGTGACCTTGCAGGGTTGTGTCTTGTAGCCAGAGAGCAGAACTCTCCCTCCAGAAAAGACATGGGATCATACTGAAAGAGAAAGTAGAAGATGTGTAATGGGACACTTTGCCTCATCCCTAGGAGAAAGACAGCACAGAAATGCTTGAGGCACATGTCATCTTGCCCTGAGCTCTGAAGGTAGCTCAGGCTGTGGCACCAGCTCCAAAGCTGGGAGGACCCTGACCATGTGGTTGTCAATATCATGGAATCATGGAATCAATCAGATTGGAAAAGAACATTAAAATTATCAAGTCTGACCACTTCCCCCAGCACTCCCAAGGCCACCACTAAACCATGTCACCGAGGGCCTTGTCTATACAGTGTTTGAACACTTCCAGGGATGGTGGTTCCCCCACCAAGATAAAAACCTCCTTCTTACAGTCCTTAGATCTCCTTGGCTTTCACTACCCTTTGGATTTTAATTTTAAGCATCTTCCAACTTGTGAGGGGTATTGTAGGACCTGTGTCTTGCCCTGTGCAAGATACTAGTCTACTGAGAGCAATTTTTTAAAGCAGTGTTTTTTCTATGAAGAAAGCAGTGTAAAGGGGGGGAAAAAGCAAGATACATTTTATTCATGCCTGTAATGTAAAGCAAGCCTGCTGGTCTGGTGTGGATTTTCTCAGCTCTGAACAACATGTTTATGTGTGTTATCTTTCAACTATTTTACATTTCCCTTTCTGAAATCTCTTTTAATAAAACCAATATCAAAACAAAGTGCCTGGAGAACAAGTGTATGGCCAGAGATACGCTGACAAAGTGTGCAATAAATGTTACTGCTTATCTGGAGAGCTCCATTTATGTGGCACAGCCTCCACAGTCAGGTCACTGTGACCTACGGATGAAACTCGAATGATGAGACTCTGCAAAGAAAATGCTCCTGGAGAGTTAACAAAGCACAGAAAGGGATGTTTGCAACCTCTTAAACAGGTAACTTAGCAACACTGATCTTTGTTTTAGCCAATCTCTTCTATTAGTCACATTTCTTATGAAGACAGACATAAATCACTGACAGAACTTTGATAAGCATTTTTCTCCTTTTTTAACATATATAAATGGCTCTTTTTATATGATGCACTCTAATTTTCTTCCCATCTGTTTTCTAGCCAGGGCTTGGAGCTCTGGTTTTTTTTGAGTGTTCTGTTCAAACAAATAAGTGTATGTCTGTGTGTACGCATTGTGTGTGGGAGAGAGAGGCCACCCATAACAAGGAAACAGAGTCAAAGCCTAGCTCTGACTCATGAAATAAAAAATCGGAGTTGTTCTAAGTTGGAGCCCATTGCTAGCGTGCTTCAAAGAGCATCTGACAGTCAACAACATTGTAGTACCTATCATAGAAAGAACAGCTTGGGTTGGAAAAGACCTTAAGACCATCTAGTTCCAACCCCCCTGCCACAGACAGAGACGCCTTCCACTATACCAGGTTGCTCGGTTGTCCAGCCTGGCTTTGCAATACCTTCAGGTTTCCCTCCCTACCCTTATATGGCACTTATATTTTGTCTCCACAAAATCCCAGAAAATGCCCAGTTAGGGAGTTACAACTGTCTTTGCCGTTATGGTACTAATAACAGAGTGACATAAAGAGACTGTGCTGGCAGTGAGGATACCATAAACAACTACATCTGCTTGATTCTTTCAGCCTTGCACCTGGTGGGGAACCCATATGTGACATCCCTGAGAAACACATATCTGGTGTTGTGATAGGAAGTGACAAATGGGGCCGCTTCGACTTGTCGAACTAAAGGTCATATCACAACAACTGCCACCACAGGTAAAGGTAATAGGAGCAGCTGGTCAAAAGCACCAACAGAACAAAACCTTGACCCAGGAGAGAAAGTAACCATGTGCCATTTTCATTACAACATTACTCTGGGGGTTGCACAGATATACCAAGTAGGGTTTACTCATTAGAAGACAGGTCTACATTTGAGCTTGTTAAGAATGCGAGAAGAGGCTTTGCATCCCATTTAGAAAGTCTTCAAATCATCTGACCACATTTCTTTCCTGTAGATTCCCTCCTAATCATTCCACTGAGGACACAGCAGATAATCTTGCATTTAATTTATACAGCTTTGTTGTTAAGAAGAGTTAATAACGTGAAATGAATCATCCTTGAGGAATAATTTAACCATCTTTCCCCTCCCTGAATGAAGGAACAGAAAAGAAAGGTGGGTCTGGTTAAATGGTCAAGTAAGCACAGACAAACCTCCTTACAGATTTGCATCTCTAATATATGGGCAGAGTGTAATCTCTCATTGTGTATGCAGATGCGAGTTACACATACAAACGCTTCTCCACAGTGAGCTTTTGGTCTAAATACCTGGGTCCTTGCATACATCAGAAAATCTGAGCCTTGTTGCTTTAAAATATTCAAGCCCAGGAGTAGGATTTTACAGCTGTCATCTGGATAATTAAACTCTTCATTAACAGTTGTTCTCCAACCAGTAGGTGACCTTTAATTAGGGATGAAAGTACTCGGGGATGGATTTCAAGCATTAAGAACCTGCAGAGGACCCTTTGCCCCTCCGCCCCTCCACCCCCATGTCCATTGAATACCATTTGTAAAGCACTGGTTTTCCAAGAGAAATGATGCTGCTTGAAACAAGAATATGTTTCCAGGTACACGGAAGCATTCCAGGTGAGTGCTTCACTTACCCTTGTTGTAACTAAAATGCTGCATTTCCTTTCTTCTCTCTCGTGGCGAATCTGCCATGTGTTACCTGGATCTTTTTTACACCTGCCTGGACACCGGCACAAAGTTGTATCCATACCAAAACAGAACAGGAACAATAGTAAGATCACAATGAGGGCAGTGCACAGATGGAACGTGCTGTATTTCTGAGTAGGTGGAGGACTGCAGGGCAGGACTGAGCAGTATGTGCTTTTTTGTTGAGTCATCCGAATATCCAGAGCTAAAATGATGCATTATGTATTATTTATTCTGGCTGAGGGTGTACAAGGGCAGGGGCTTGGAGCAACCTGCTCTAGTGGAAGGTGTCCCTGCCAGTGGCAGGGGGTTGGAATTGGATGAGCTTTAAGGTCCCATACACTAAGCATTCTATGATTCTATAATTCCCAGGTAACAAGCAACAGAAATTTGTATGGGAAAATACTATGGACAAGTAAACTTAAAAGGAAGTTCAAGTCATGGGGGTTTATTTCATTGTTAAAGAATATGTTAAATAAAAAAAAAGCAGATGACTGATACAAACAGCATGTATATGCTATCTCCAGAGAAGGGGCCATCCAGGAGCCATACTGCACCAGCACCAGTCACCTCTGCATTGCAATTCTGTGTATTGCTTGTGAGCTAAAAATGCCAAATTAGCTTTAAATGCTCTCAGTTTCCTCTTCTTTCACTGCCTATGCTATCAGGACAAACATGTGCCCCTTGGATGTCTGTATGCTTGCCTCCTCATTGCCTCAGCTTTACAAGTTTGGTCCTTTTCATGATGATGGTTCATGCTTCCTATGCTTAGAAGTGCTCTGCTTTTACCTGCAGTTAGGTATGAACAGAATTCATGGCCCTTAGAAATGCTCCTTCAGAAATCAGCAGCTGGAAGGTCAGAATCTGCTCATTGCTCCCTGTGTACTGGGGTGCACATGTCTCCTTACACTGCCTTCCAGTTTGTCTCTCATCTTGGTTGTTTCAGTGATTACTGTGAGGATAACTGACCCTTTCCCAAGTTTGAAACATTCTGCTTTGCAATAGTGACTCTTGGAGCAGGCTGATTTCAGTAAATCAGGGTGAAACAAACACACCCCTCACCTCATTCTGCCCCTGCACATTTCCTGGGCTTTGCTGGGGGAAACATACCTTAATTTTACACAGGTGATTCTGAGTTTTCTTTCCTACATCGCCAGCTGCATCTTTGCCTTGTTCCAGATGTCATAAAGCATCCCAAAGTGCTCTGGGGGAGGGAGGAAACACAATCTGGATAAAGTGGAGCCATCAAAAGTTAGAAAAGCACAGCAAAATTAGGGCAGCCTTTAAATGACCCCCCACAAGCTCCTGGACCCATATCAAGGATTCTGTGATTCACCCCACTGTGGGGTCTCTGCTTCTATCTACATGGGGTGAGGCAGTGCCAAGACATCAGTTAGCAAGGACACCAGAAACAGTGTATTTTCCCCTTGCTCTACCTGGGCTACTGCGTTACTGCACTACAGAAACAGTTTCTTAGGAGAGCTAGCTTGTGTGGATTAGGCAAAAATTGGGTTGAGCTACACTTGGTTACAGAGGTGGCCTATCCATGGCAGTGCTTTTTCCACCACAACAAATTAACCAAGGTTTGGCTTTTTTTCCCCCAAAAACCACTTCTCCTGCTACCCAGCATTACCTTTCTCCTGGAGTACCTGTTCTCTCTTCCTTCACCGACTGCTGCTGCCCACACCACCGCTGTTAGCATCATTTTCCTCCCTCCCATGGTCGGTGGCACCTTTTTGCATGACTCCACCTGAGTCCCAACTGACTCATTAGTCACTGAAAAAGCTTTCAAGGTGTCTGTGTTCTATCCTTTAACAACAAGGTGTTGTTTACCTCATGGCAACACTCTGCCTACAGAACATTCTCCCAGGCATTTAACACCATTGTATTTGATGCTCAGCTTCAGTGCCTGTTCTACACCATGCTGTTAATGAAGGCATCAGCTCATTAGTGCCTTTGGTCCTGATTTTGATGTCGCTCATACTAACCAGACAAGCCTCTTCATTCTCAGATCCTCAAAAGAGACCTCCCATTTTGACTGCCCTATTGTAGGTGCTAGTCTGGTTTGGATGTTCATCAGCGTCAGCAGAAGAGATCTGCTTCTGTTTACGAGGAGGATCATCTGTGGAAGTCATATGAAATTAAGGAGGAAACAGGCAACCTGCACTCAGCCTCGTCATTGCTCAAAGACCTCAAAGGGCACTTGAATGGCAGCCAAATCACAACACACATGATCACAATTTGGCCTCTCTCCTTGTTGCTATAGGTAATCCTCCATGTATTACATAGCATCATGGGGCAGCACCACCTTCGCTGCTAATCTTCTTAGCAATCATCTTCATTGCTAAGAACTCAGGGTGCTGAAGCTGCAGTCTGTAAAGCATTTGTCACCACCAGCTAAAAAAGGTCACTAACAGTTAACTAGTTAGGTAATCAGGCAATTAATTATGCAACTAATTAGATCTGACCTAATCCCTGGAAAACAGCCTTATAAGAATCCTTTACTTTTATTCCTCTTTAGGAATAATTCATTATCAAATGCACCTATTTCCTTCCAGTGAAGGTCCCCTGTGAGTCAGCCCGAGTGGCTCCTGGTTACTTCTTTCATAATGAAAGATCCTTTGTTGCTTTTTCAAAAGGTGAGAGGCACCACCACTGCTCTGCCTGGCTTCCTCTTGCCTGGCAGACACAGATGGTGATGCCGGAGGCTGTGAGCCAGATGAGGCTCTTTGCATTAATGCTCACTTCCTTTGCTCATCGAGTTACTGCAATATCCACACTTCCCTCACTCCTGCAAAGCTCCATTTAACAGTTGCCTGTAGACAATAGTGAAGAACATGGGCAGAGATCTTCAGAGGAACCTAATGATTTAGGTACCCAGGATTCATGGACATGCACAGGGAGACCTTATTTGAAGGCTTGAGGTTTTAGCATCCCTTTAGACTAGAAAACGGTTTGGGGGGAGAAGTTACGGGTTTGTGTGAGCCAATATCATCACATGCCCTATTTTAATCAATACTTAGCAAAGGTCAGTTCCCAGCAATGCCCCCTTGCCCCTTTCAACAGACTATAAGAATAAAAGGGCTGTTGAGGGGTAAGCCTGGAAAAGCACTCACTGCTAGAGTGCGAGGAGAATCCCAAATCAGAGTGGGAGAAGGGGGGATAGTGTCCAGGAAAACAAGATGCACTTACCTGGAGCTTTTGCCATATGAAAGAAATAGAATGATTTTCTCAAGGCTGCACCCAGAAACCAGATGGTATTGGGGCAAAACCTTCCGTGTCCTGAGTTCTTCAGTCAGCCAAGAGAAGGTATCATCTGTCTGAGGAGAGAATCCTAGCAGGGCTTCCAAAGGACTTACCCTTTCTTAGTGTTGGCAACTTGGAGAAATGGTGTTAAGGAAGGAGGGAGGGGGAAGAGAGGGAGAAAGAAATTTCTCTTACTTCAAATAAAACTATACAAATAATTCTTGTGAGGGGAGTGAAAAGATTGCACTGAGGAGGCTCATAAAGACACCCAGTTTTAATTTTTCTAAGCTGGGCCTCCTGCAAGCAGTGCTCTGCATAGAGTCTAATACCCCTCCCTGCTCAGAGAACCATCACAAGGACTATTTGCACAATAAATGACCTTCAAAGTGGGGCTGACATGATGTGTATGTTTTGTGCTGGCCCTCTGCACTGCAGCGGATTGCATGTTGAGCAGGGAATGCTTGTCTTTCATCTATAAAAATTACCCAAGCCTGCCCCATCGCCCCCAGCCACTCCTAACACACATTTGTTTATGTGCCCTTTTGGCTCTGATGTTCTGCATCACAAAATAGCACCAGAGTAGCATGCTGCTTTAAAGGATAAATGGTGGTAAAACTCTTTCCTGAAAGATAGATGGCCTCTGCCTATTATCTGGGATTGGGGCAGGCTATTTTGAGTTGAAAGTCCCAAAAATGGAGGCAAATAGGCTACAGGAGCAGCTGAGCTCCTGCTCTAGCTACATGGAGAAAAACAGAAGGAGGAAAGCCTGGGAAAAGGGAAAGATTGGGGTTGGGTGTCTCAGCCTGTCTCCAGAGCAGAGATGCTCCAGCCCTCAGAGCATCTCCATGGCCTCCTCTAGACTCTCTCCAACAGCTCCACATCCCTCTTGTGTTGTTGCCCCCAGAGCTGGGCACAGGACTGCAATGCAGGGGTCTCACCAGAGCACAGCAGAGGGAGAGAATCCCCTCCTTCGACTCTGGGGATGCAGCCCAGGACCTCCTGGGTTTATCTCTGCATATTCTCTCAGTTTTCATGGAACCAATCCCTTTCCAACCAAGTGCTTCCTACCACCAGGAAGCCTGCCTGCACTGAACATCCCATTTGCCACACTCCCAGTCTTCCTCTGCCTGTGAGGGGGGCTCCATCAGCAGCAGAGTAAACACCTCGTGTCTGCACAGCACCAGCATGCATGGGCCCCATCCTGCTCCCTGGAAATGACAGAATCAACAATGAAGGCAGTGTTCATGGTCTGACTCGAGCCTCTCCTTCACTCTGCTGCTGTTGTTGGAGCTGCCCAGCCTGGCAGCATCACACCGCTGTATGCAAGGCATGCTTCCCTTGGCAGCACATTGGGCACCACAAAACAGAAGCAAGCTCTCAGTGCTTTCACAGACCTGCTTTTGATCGCACATCCCATCAGAGTGAGCTGCAGAGAAAAGCACATGAAATAGTTGAGCGTATATGGTCCCAGCTACTGTGTGGGCATTAAAGCAAAGCAGACAGTGGGGGCTGCATGGAGGAGAGCAGACAGTGGGCTGGGGGGGTCACAGGATCACAGAATCATTAGGGTTGGAAGGGACCTCTGGAGATCATCTATTCCAACCCCTCTGCCAAGGCAAAGCCACCTACAGCAGGTTACACAGGGATGCACCAAGGCAGGTTTTGGATGTGTCCAAAGAAACTCCATGACCCCCCTGCACAGCCCGCTCTAGTGCCTTTGAGATACCGAGCTCCTGCCCTCTCCTTGCTTTCACACAAGTCCTTTGTTCTAGTGCAGAAGCCTTTTATGCAAGTATGTATAATGAGCAAGAGAGCAAGAATGGAGCTGAGAAAATAAAGGTGCTGTGCTATCCTTAGTTGTTAAGAGCCAGGGCACAAAAATAAGATGATGCTAGAAAACCATTAACTACACAACAGCACAATCTGCAGGCTCTGTGGAAGCAAGCTGAGCCTGGCAGTTACTCAAGAGCTGGCTCATTTTTGGGGGGGGTCAAAGAGGTAGACCTTCTGCTTCTCCCCTAAGCCTATATATTCTATATGTTTACCATTTTACAAGCTAACATACCCACTTGTTCAGAGCAGGCGAAAGCACTCAGTCCAGCCAGTTATGAGGATGAGGCATCTGCAGTGCCCATGGCCCTGCCATGGTTACAGCTCCTTCTCGTCATGCCTCCTTTGCTCCCCAAGCTACACCATGTTTCTCTTCTGTAATCCACTTCCATGTTTTCCTCCACCACTTCTCAGGGCAGGCTCTTTTTGATAAAGTGCTTCCCTGTGCCTGCCCTTTTCCTCCCTGTTGTGTTTCTTTGACCCAGCCAAGGTGCTTCACTTCTCGTGGGCATATCCTGCACTCCTCAAGCGCACAAAAAGCTTAGAGAGGAGATCTGAGGGGCCCAAGGCAGGAAGCCTGAGCTTGGTCAGGAGGCTGATGGGTGGGGAATATCTTCTTGAGAGATTCAGAAGAGAAGGAGAAGCCTTGGCCAAGCCCAAAGGATCCCTGAGAGTGAACCTGGGGTGGACCTTTGCAACCAAAGGCTAAGCCCTCCATAAGAGCCAGGTTTAGACAGAGATGGAAAGGTAGTGATGTTACCAATTATGAGAACTGACTGTCACCTTATTTACAATTTACAGGACACTGGCTGGCATTTAATAACAGCAACACAGAGTACAGAAAGCTGCTCTGCTTTAAAAGCCCTGCCAGAAAACAAAACCACTGCTTAACAGCCTCTGGCCACAGAGTCAGGCTGATGGATGCATGTGCCCTCTGCTCTGTAGACAGCACAGCCAAGCTTCCAGCACCGAGCAGCCACCCTGGGAAGCAGAAATGCCAATTGCTGGCAATCGCCATGGACATGCATTTCCCCTCTCTTCACATTCCCTAGCTCTTTGCGTATTGTTTCCCCACCTGGTTATCCCTGCAGGCAGAGAGCAAGAGATAAGCATCCACAGCAGGGGATCTGTTAGTGGGCTCTCCCTGCTGCTTGCTGGCTCTTGCCAGTGGGGTTTGGTGGGGCCAGAGGACAGGGCAAGCTTGCCCATAGGCGTGCTGTTTCCAGCCCATGTCTTATGTACCTCAGGCATGCACAGAGGTGGAATGTGGAACTGTGATGTACCTCCTTCATCCTTGGGAAATGTCTGAAATGCCCCACAGAGGGACAGCAGCTCCCTCCTGCTGCAGCTTCTGGCTCAGGAGCCAAAGGCAAGAGGAATGAGCCATGTGAGACAAGGCACCGCAGGGAGCCAGGGCCATGATGCTCAGCTCTAAGCATGATTTGGGGAGAAGCTTTGCCTGGATCAGCTATCACTCCCAGATGGCAAACAGCAGGCGAAGCAGCCTCCGGCAGGGCACTGTGTCCTGGCTGCTTCCCCCATCCAAGGTCAGCCCAGTGTCAGGGAGTTTACTCCTCAGTGCTGCTGTGCTTGGAGAATGAGTTACTCCAGGACTGACACTGCAGTGTGCTCCCACACGCGGCTGCAGAGTGAGTTATCTAACTGCACAGATATTACTGAGCTACAGACTGCAATGCCTGTGAAAAAAGGAACATTACATCACTCCTGTATCAGGAAACACTCCCTTCCCTAAGGACAACAGCAGAAAGTTATCTCAGAAAGTATGGTTAAAAGGCAACAGGGCTGGCAAGTAGAGGCCAGCTCCTTTCACCCCAGCACCTGTGACCTTGCCCATGTTGTTTCTCTGCTACCCACCCACGGGACATAACTTGATAGAGAGGATGGGGTGTGCAAGGGAAGCTTTGTGGTCCCACCTGCGGAACAGCACTAAGATGCTCCCCAGGCATCTCCTGGGGGTCTGAGCAGGAGGACAAAGGACCATGAGGCTCCCATTCAAGCTCAACATGGAAGGGTGAAAAGGGAACTCAGGGGATGCTCATACAGCCCTAACCCACAGCCAGCCCTGTTAACCCATTGGAGGGACCTCAGCACAGACAGGTAATATTGAATTTGTCCCATCTACAAGTGCTCAGCATCTGCTGCCTCCTGCATATCTACAGCATCTGAAACATGCACAGGAAAGAAAATAGCTGTAACCGGGCTGAGTCAGATCAGTGACCGTGACTCAGGCTGTAGCTGCTCTTGTGCTATGTAAAAGATCCCCAGATTTCATTTCTACTGCCCATACAGCTGAAGCTGACAGAATTAGGATGCATTTAATACCAGGTGAGAAGTTGGAGACAGTGCTGCACACATGAACGAACCCTTACAGGAGTCTGACAGAAGAGATTCGCTCACCACAAAAAGGCAGGCATTCATCTTGATATATCTTCTGTCACATCCTGCTGCAAATATGTCATTTTGTTGCTCTTTCTCCTCCCTCTCAAAGCGGCATTCCACCTAGAGGGAAATGCAGAAAAATAGATGAGTTTATTTCCAGCCCTGTAATAGATGCACATTCGCTTTGGGATTTCTCTGTGTGCACTGGTAAAGACTGACACAATGCTTTCAAGGGTTTTTTTAAGGCATTTCTAGGGTTTTTCCATTTATAGGACAAAAGTCTAACTATATCAATATAAAGAAAATGTGCTCTGGGAGCAAAGCCTGCTAACGTGAGTTTCCAACTCCTATAGAGGGCCCACATGCTCAGGAGGAAGATCCTCAGAGTTGCTTTGGGGAGGCCAAGGAAATAAGCATTTTCCATGTCCTTGGACAAAAGTTGATGCTCAGGTTCCACATTTTTAATAGAGACAGTTTAAAAAGGGCTGCAGTGAGACGGTGCTCACTGTAGATTTAGTGATCTCAGATACTGGTGATTACACTGAGAAACTGCTATTAAATCCTCTTTAATAAGAAAACCTATATTGAAGCTTTCTGAACTGCCAGCTATAGCACAATATACCAGGAATTTAAGTGCCATGTATTGACCTAACGCACTCACTCTTCATTCATTGGGGGGGGGGGGGGGTAATGATACAGGAGATGCTCTCTTTTAAAAATTTGGGGAAAGTCTGCAAATTAAAACAGCAGCAGCAGCAAAACCCCCACAAACCAAAACTTTAAACCATCACCACGTTCCCAGAGCTATTCTTGGAAAGGCTGTCATATTAGTGTGAAATCTCAGCGAGGGAATGCATGCAAGCATTCTGCTCAGCATGAACCCCGAACACCCACCGCGCCGCTAGATTAAATGCAATAATATGTTCCCAAAGGGAGATACACTGCAAAGCAAATTACACAGCCCTTCAGTGTGTTTTGACACCCAGAAAGGAAAGGTGCCAGGGGAAGGGTTGGGGTTTCTTCTCCACAAACACACCAGATCCACAATAATGAACCATGAGGTCCAAGAAAACCAAGCAGCCAGACCACGGGAGGGAGAAGTCAGTCTCTGAGGAAGAAGGGGCTCTCTATGGGTTGGTTGCTCCCATCAGAGCTGCTGCTATCATCGCCAGGACCATAAAGGTAGAGCCTTTGCCCTGGGAAATACTTATTCTTCTTAGAAGCAGTGTTACTGAGTATACATGTTTGCTGAGGAATTAACTTATGTTTTTGTTTTATAGGAAAATCCGCATGCAAAATGGAACTACTGCAGTTTGCTGCCTTTCCTACAGAGGACTGGAAACTCATTCCAATGGGATTGCCTGAATTTCACTAAATAACAAGCAAAGGAATATCTGCAACAGAAAGTGTGCTTTGTTCATGTGTTCTTAGCATATGTGGATTTATTCCGTAATATTTCCTTCCTGTCACTGACCTTGTAAATTAATGAAGCCTTAAAAATAGAGGCCATCCTACTTCACATCCTCCATCACTAAAGCTTTCACAGGCAAAAATTAGCCTACTTTCTTCAATATTGCTACATATTACATTATTGCTTTCCTTCTGGAATCTGATGTGACTGGCCTGTCTCTATTGGAACAGACACTCTGTGGCATCAAACCTTGTGTTAATTAATCAGTGTGCCCATTCCTGTAGGCAGGTTGGGGAATTGTGGTTTCCAGAACTAGGCAGCTTTCTACATTCAGCTTATGAGGGGTCTAAAGAGCACAAGGAAATAAAGAATCTGGTGCATACTAAATAGCTAACAGGGGCTGGCATCAAGACTATTTCTATCTGCTCTTGCATGTGAGCTCATACAAACGAAGGCCCAGGATCCTTACTACGTGGCTTTCACAAATGATCTTGAAACAAATCAATGAGATTCTGACACCAGGGACTTTTGTTGCTCTGGGGGCAGTTAAGTTCTTGCAGTTGCAATTTCTGCTGAAGATCTATGGCCTCTGATGTATCTCAAAGAGAACCCTGCTGGAGCTAGTCAGGAACCAGAAACCAATTGGGTATCACACGACTTTTGACTATGATGGAAACTCACTGCTGGCTTGAAGGGATTACTAAATTTAATCGTTTCAAGCTGCAATCATAAGAAGGAAAAGTTTCAGCAATGTTTGTCTTTGCTTCACAACAGAGAGAGAAATATGAAAAAGACTGCTTAATTTGGGACTATTTTCAAACTGTTCCAAAAGGTTTCATTAATGTTGTTAACTGAGAGCAAGTCAGCGTTAAGTGCGTGAATATATTCCACACATCTGTGTATGAGACCTGGTTGTTTATGGTGACTGCTCCCTAAGGACAGGCACTCGCCCGAGCCAGGGCTTCATTAAGCTGCAAACCCTCCTTCCCAGAGGATGCACAACTCATGGTCTCAAGCAGAGATGCTCTGCCAGCTCAGAGGCAAAGCCAGACACGTTAATGATGCATTAGTGCGCCAAAGACTGCTGTTCTAGGATTCAAAGCTGCACTCCAGTGATGTAGTGTAAGCACAGGAGCCTTGTGCTGAATATTGAGGTTACATGAGGATTTTCTTTAAGAAGTGATCTCATTCCCAGTTTATTTTGCCTGTTTTCAGTGTTTTGTTGGATAGCTTGGGAAATAACAGATTCCCCCCAAGTTCATGATTGATCTGAAAACTTCAGAGAAATTTCATCTGACCAGAATATTTACAATTTTACCTGAAAAATTCCAAAGAAAAACTCTAGAGAATGCATATTCTGGATGAAGAAAAAAAAAAAAATGCCATCTTTGACCTAAAAATCAAACGCTTTGGATCTAGTTTTCTGTTATATAATTAGGTCTTACAATTTTTAAATCAGTTCACATCAATCCAAAATTTGTGTGAGGTTTAAATGAAAAACAACTTGCCTTGTGGGCATTTTAAAAAGTAATGTAAAAGATCAAAACAAAACCTTTTGTTGCAGAAAACAGTCAGTAAATTAAAACCAGACATTTAATTAGTTTTAGTTCTTCAAAACGTTTCAGTAAATTCATTGTCAGTGCATTTGTTTAGTTCCTTAGCTTTGTTACTAATTAACAGCAATAGGAAGCTGCTGGTGCCACAAAAAGGAAGAGGTTATAAATATTGCTGTGATCACTGCTGTAAGCACACAGCACAAGTCACTTGTAAATCTAATGATCTCAAGAAAAAGCACAAGTTCGTCCTATCTTACAGATGTCAAATGTATGGATAGATCCTTGGAATCACTTGCTGTGGTCATGCAGGACATCTAAGGCTTATCAGGTAGCACAGCCCAGGAGGAGTGGAGCTGTAGGGAGGGATGTGTGAAGACTAGAGGTCCACGACATTTGTGTGCGATTCACAACACCCACACGGATAGGTCCTTGCTATGCATTCATTTCTAGTCTGGTCCCGTAGAGCTGAACTCACATTCACAGACAGAATGCATACAGTGCATGTCTCTAGTTTGCCCTGAGAAGCCCGTGTGGTCCAAGACTTCTCCATAGTGGGAAGCAAAAGCAGAATGAGGAAGGATGGTCAGGAAATGCATGTCAAAACACACTCTAGTTCTGCTCAAATGTGCTAGTGCAGATACTACACCGAGTGTACTAAGAGAGCCCAGGTCTCTGAAATGCTAATTCTGGCCCCATTTATATCATCTTCTCACTTAGAACTTGCAAGAGATCTGTTATGAGATGATCTGAGTGTTTCAGCATACAAGCCAAAAAATGTGCATTTCAGAAGCAGTCACAATCAGAGTCAGTCAACAGTTACTATTCATCGCCAGAAGATGTGGGCTGCCCCAGTTCCATTTTTCAAACATACAGTTTTCTTGGTGACATCACCATTATCATGACTATTTATAAATGGATTTGAAAGCACATACACCAAGGAAAGAATTAGGAGTAATACTGATAACAAAATCGAAGAGGCATGATGAGTGAATCCAGAACAAATTCAGAATGGAAATTGGAAAACTGGTTCTGGTTAACAAAGCAAGAAAAAAATGATACTGTGAAGGAGTCTACATAGAATTGTCAAATCAGATGATGGTTTGGGTTAGAAATGACCTTAAGATCATGCAGTTCCAATTCCCTGCCATAGGCAGGGAAACCTTGCACTAGACCAGGTTGCTTCAAGCCCCATTCAACCTGGCCTTGAACACTGCCAGGGATGGGGCAGCCACAGCTTCTCTGGGCACCCTGTGCCAGGGCCTCAGCACCCTCATCACTTGTCTGAGACAGGTGGTGAAGATACACATTTCCGTGCAGTCCCACCTTCCTGCATGATGGCATTGATTCACTACGCACTATTTCAGGCTAAGTATGCAGTAAGGGGTAAGAGCCTAAAGAGATTGTGGGACAACTACTTGTATCTTTAAACTCGTCTCTATGCTTGTGGTGAGCGGAGATGAAACCCAAGATCCAACCAGTACTGAACTCTGGCTAAAACCAGAGTGACAGCAGATCTGAGATAAAGTGCACATTTTTAAATTCCTAGTTACACTTACAGTTTATTCTTTGTGCACCTCCACACAGCACATCTCTGCTGAAAGACACTTGTACATGTTGAAGGCAAAGCCAACGAGGAGCACTGACTATGACTAACATTACAGAGTTAGGTTACCCAAGCAAGGGGGGCTTTCTCTTTGCATTTCTCACAGATTCTGCCAGTGGTGGGTAACGTCAAAGCATCACTGAGCTCCTTTGTGCACATGCATTATTCAAGGCATGCACTTTGGGTGATAACTTGTACATGGAGGAAGCAGGGATTGGTAAGAGGTACTATGTAAACAATATGTGGAAAAATCTTCAGTATGTACACAGTGTGATAATATTAGGCAATAAAGGTGCTACCAAAATTGATTGATATGCCTTAATAATGCCTTTCCACCTTCCTAAGGGAGGAAGGATAAAATAGAACTGAGGCTCTTCTGCATTGGAGATGGGATTTTGTGAGTTCATATTTCTTTTCAATCACTTTCTAGGAAAGGATTTTGTACCCAGAGTGTAATATTATCTTAAAGAACTCTCCTAGTGTGCTTCCCTTTATGAACTGACATTAACTGTTATTAAAATACATATTTATTTACATGGACTTGAAAACA